TAACGCGGTCCGTGAAAGAATTCCTGTTTTTTACATGCTCACGCCAGCACGTAAAACTTTCCTCATTTCCTGTCCTCCGGTTGGTAATCATTTTTCACCTGACCAAATTTCCAAATCACTTTGACCAAATTTTATCGCCCCTTTTTTGAACAGTTCATTAAAAAACAAGAATTACGTATTCGAGGTTGAATATGGATATTTTTTGATTGGTAATAAGAGGGTCGAATTTTAGAATACCGAATGAGCTTTAATAACTTATTCAGTCCTATCTATTCAACGCAATCATGCTTCGGTGAATTCTAGACTCTTCGTCGCAACTTAAATTTGTAAAACCTACAATTTTCCGAGAGATACAAAATTGGATGACTCTTAATCGAAAGATTAAAAAATCAAAGAATTCATTTCGTTTCCCACTGAATATTACTCTTCGTCACAGTGACCCATAAAAATTCGTACGAAGGCGTAATAAGACGCGATCGATAGGTTGCATAGTTCCCGAGACCTTAAACAGACCCAGGTTTGTAGGGAAGGTATTCAACGTCGGTTATAGTTGCGCCACTCGCACAACAGAAGGAAGCACACGCCAGTGTGGTTTTCCCGCCAAGTTCATTCAGCATCTTGCGTTGGATCTAAGCCAAATACTGAATACACCCAGCGCCTTCCGCCTCCTCGTTTCTCCTGCTCGCCTCGCCTCTAACCGTTATCATCTCTCGAAATGGCAAGTTGATGTTGCCGTTGTTGCTAACACCTCTGGCGTCGCTCGTTTATAGAACAAGCAACACCGGGCTCTAATAAGGTCGGGTCACGGCCCTATTCCGCAATATTTCCCGACCAATTGTGCGCGACGCTAGCGGGAACAAATGCGACAGCGAAATCCGGCAGGAGTTATTGGCCGCGTTATTCCTGTTGAAATTCATCCCTCGAAAAGAGCCACTCTACATTCCTCGTTGTGGACAGTCGACGAGATTATGGCGTTCCCTCGATAAAAGGTAAACGAGAGAAAAAGAAAGGCTGTTCGATCGTCTGCCGTTGGGCGATAATGAAAGCGAAAGGCGAAACCGGCGTTATTCGCAAGTTTTTTAAACGGTTTAATACTCGCCGGGGCCGGCCGACTCGCTGCAACAAGTTATCAGCTCCTCGCAGACTTTCTGCAAGCTGAACTTTAATAGTTCGAAATAAATTCGCCGTTGATCGATGGCCTTCGACGATAAAAATCGCGAGATTGAACGAAGCGCAAATTACGTTTACCTTAAATTCTACTTCTGATTAAAAAACCGTCTCGCGAAATAACTTTGTCCACTGTGAAAGATTTCCCCTTCTTGCACGTCTCTTCGTGTCCCCGCGGAAGATGAAAGAAAACAGCAACGTGTGACGTGAATCGTACGGGTACTCCGATTTCCTCGAAGGCTGTTTTTTCACGAAATCCCGCCGCGTGCCTGGGAAACGAGCGGGGGATCAAGCGCGCGGGTGTGCGTAGCGTTCATAGTATTGGCACCGAGCCAAGTCACGTTGCGGCTCAATGAAATCTTTCTAGGTTAGGTTAGCCCCTTCCTTCCGTGTTAAGCGTAGGATACGTTTACACCGACTCGCTAGACGCGCGAGAGAGGAGGCTGGCCTTCGGCCAGGGCCCGAGAGAGAGAGAGAGAGAGAGGAACTCGCCGAAGTGGCTGGTTTTCGGCTCCGACGGAAGTAGTAGTGGTCAATATTGGTCAGACCGGAGGCTCCTTACGCGCGAGCTCGTATCACTTGGTGGCTCAACTTGGTCGTTGCAGTTCGGTTGCTCGCGTCAATGAGACGTTACGTGAATGGCCCAGATACCGTTACCCTGAAAGAGAATTAGCATCGCCATGTGTGTATACGTGTGTGTACGTGTCTATGTCACGACGAGTCACGATGTACGCGATTCGCATGGAATCGTACACAGGCGGTAGGCTACGAGACCGTTGGAAATTTCGTTGGAATTGGATTTTTCAAGTGCTCACTTGCCCTCCTGTTTCTCATTGGCACGGCGTATGTTAGTACATACATCCCAGAAACACGGCACGATATCTCTAATGCAGGCTCGTCTGACAGGCAGGCAGGCAGGCAGGCAAGGCAGGCAAGCAGGGCCCGGATTCGCGGCAAAGAAACACTTCATTCAATATCGCATGATGCGAGGAGTTTAGCTCGCGGACGCGTAACAAGTAGTCATGCACCGAAAATGCGCCGTTTCGGCATCGGTGCAACACGGCTCGCGAGCACAATCCGGCGTGTGCCCCCCCCTGACGTGTTCACTCGACTCGAGCGTTCTCCCTCTACCGCGTTTCTATCCCGCCGTCAAGCGAGCGTGGCGTGGCGAGGAGGAGCAGTCAGGCAGTCAGGCTCTCTGCTGGCATTAAGTATTCCCGTTGGGTCGGCGTGGCGAGGAGGAGCACGGAGTGGCGCGGAGTGGCGCGACGCGACGCGGCGTGGCGTGCGGCGCGTCGGTCGATGCTGGGGTGCTCGCGAAGGAAGGAAGGAAACGAGCGAGAAGGAGAAACAGACCTGAATGCTCTCCCCCTTCGATGCACTATCTCTCCCTCTCTTTCTTTACGTGTCGTATACCCATCTCGCTCGCACCAACGAGCTTTCTCCGGCTAGAATCGAGAGGCACTATCCCCCTCGAACGACGCCAGCGCCCCGGGGGCGCCTGCGCGCTTCGGAGGGGTAGCGGTCGCCTGATAGTGGCGAAAACCTTGGGCGAGGGGAAAGGGGCCCCTCACTGCTCTATCCCTCGCTCCTCGAGCGTACACCCCACCACCAGGAGCCGCGCGGCTCCTCTACCTCCCCTCGCTACGGCTCCACTGCCCGGGCCTCCACGGTCGCCCCATTCCGTTCTCGGCATCACAGCGTACAGCATTGAACTCGACGCAACACGACAAGGAGCGCGACAACGACCACCTGCCTCACTGTGCTCCACGGATTATATCTGTCTCTCTCTCTTTTTCACCTTCTCGCTGTCCGCCCCGTTCGGTCTAATCGTACGCGTACCCAATCTCCAACAAGAGGAGACGAAGAACGAGGATTGCAAAAAGGATAATAGCGTTGTGTAGCTGCTGCTCCGCTCTGCTCTGCTGCTGCTGATTACGCTCGTTCAGGCGTCACGAAGATACACAAACACACCGTCTAGGGGTATCTGTCACGCGCGGTGAATATACGCCGAGGATAAAACACGCCCGGAGATTTGTCCCAACTGTAACGGTGGGTGGCCTCTTCGCAGTGTGTCATCTGTTTGCTGAGCATAGTTGTTTCACGCGTGTTACAAGCTCGACAGCTCCGATTCCAGTGTCCGTGAGTAGTAGCGACCACGACGATTACGTGACAAGTGTGTATCGCGCGCGAATGTAAGCCGTTCGTCCACGTCGTTCGATCGAAGGGGAAAAAAAAAGGATCTTCGTACGTTGTTCGGCAGCCACCTGTGAGTTTCGTCGTACGATCACCTTTGTTCGTCAATCGTGATTATCGTCGTCGTCGTCGTCGTTTACAGTGCCAATAACCTGCGTAGCCTGACGAGTGATCGTCAGCTGGATCGAAGACAGATCGAGACGTACGAGAGCTGTCACGATACGATCGTGACGTTCACGTCCATTGGGAAGCTGTGTGGAGCAAGATATACACGCGTGTGCTGAGAAAGCGCGAGCGTGTGACACGAGACACCGTCGGTCTCTCGTTCGTCTTTTTCTCCTTTCGCGGAGAAAAGGCCATATACCGTTGATAGCACGGCACTCGGTACTCGCGGCAGTACTGAGTGACCTGCAGCACCCGGCAGTCATCGAAAAGTGTACACGACGGCGGTCACCACGTACATCACGCCGCTCATCACCCCCGAGAAGGTACGGTGGTTCCATTAAAAATCTTTCTTCGAAATAATCCTATCTAATGTATCGCGCGGGGCATGTGGAACGGGGAAGGGAACCGATCGTCCTCGAGGAAACTGTGTATCACGGTGAACGGTGTTAGGTGTATCGACGTTTATACACCTCGCATTTCTCATATACATACACATAGAAACATGTATATATATATATATGTACGTGTGCGTGTGTGTGCGATACGTTTGTGTGCAAGCTGCCAGGCATGAGTGTGTGGGTGGAGCTTGATCCTGGACGTCATCCGACGGACAGGGACGGACTAACACGACTTGGTGGATCCCCCTATCTCGCTTCCTCCCATTCTCTTGTCCTCTTATCTCTTGCACTGTTTATTTCTCCGGACAATGTGCAGTGACCGAAAAGTTTCGCGTAGATGACGTTCGAGCGAAGCTTCGCTCCCCCAAGTTTTCCCGGAAGTTCCGAAATCCTTCGCCGGAGACCATCGTTTCTGATGCGTCGGGACCTTTCATACCCCTGTCGTGTGCTGTGTTGGATTCTTCTTTCCTTCTTACCCTCTATGTCTCTCCCTCTCCCACCCTT